GCGTCACAAGCAGGGGACATCGGTGCTGCAGGAGCGAGACGGTGGCATGCCGCCCAGCAGGTGGGCGTCCTGCCCACTCTGCGCCTCACTGCCCACTGCGGCCGAGGGAGCTACGTGACTCCCCACCTGACATCCACAGGGACTTCATCGCCGCCGTCCTGCATGAGGCCCAGTCGTCTGTCCCTGGGTGGAGACCCTGTCCCTTCAGGAGCTCCAAAAAAGAATCTGTGAGACTCCTCTGCACGAGGTGTCAGCGGCCCGCACTACGTTCTGAGGCACGTGCATTTAAACTTGGAAAAAGCGGAAGTAACCGGGGGCGTCCTGTCACACGCATGGAGGGAGGGAGCAGGCTGGGAGCATCCCTACAAAACGGGAGCACAGCAGACGAGGGGCGGGGGTGTCTGTGCATCCCCAAATCATCACTCTGATTCTAAGCATAAAGTCCAAATACACAAAATTGGATTTGAGAGGTGAACACCCGAAGCACTGTAGGGGAAAAGAGACAGGATCAGCCTGCTCTGACGGCACCAACGGGGTGACGACGGCGCAGGGCAGCGTGAATGGAGGGACAGGGTCGGGGTGGGGAGGGGCCTGGACCTAGAGCAGAGACAGACAGGGAGAGGGCTCGCAGGACGTGAATGGCTGGATGCCCAGGATGTGGCCGTGACAGGACATGGGGGTGAGCGCTGAGGACGCCGAGGCCCTGCTCCTGCTCCCGACTGTGGGCCTCTTAGACAAGCGCCCTCAGGATGCAGGGTGGGCTAGTGGCCACTCCCGGAGGCACCTGGGACAGCAGACTGGTGAAGGACCTCAAGGTGGGAGATCAGCCGGCGGTTTAGGGAGCAGTGGGCAGCCTTGGAAACGGGGAGCGTGGGAGAAAGTGCCAGGACAGGGCGGGGAGCAGCAATCAGTGCCCCCAAGCCCGGTCCTCTGGCCTTTGTGGGGAGAGCTCCCCGAGCCTGCTGCCCATGGGGAGGCCCTGGCTGCAGGCTCTCCGTAGAAGGGCGGGGTGGTGGGGGGGCAGAGTGACGCCAGCCCCAAGCCATCACGCTGTCCCCGACACACGCTTGGCATTTTAAGACTGTAAATGTTTGAGAAGTATTAACAGACCGTAAAGGAACTCTGAGACCTTGGGTGACTGTCCATGAGTATATCAGCGTGATTTATCTGGCAGTGGCCAACGAAGCCCTCAGTGTGTGTTCCCCAGTGAAGCCGACCCAACCCTGAGGGCTAATGCAACCAGCCCATGAGACGTGAGTGGGCACCTCAGACACCTCGCCTCTCGCCAGGACCGATGCACGGGATCTGAGCGGTGTGCTTGCGAGGCAGACAGCACGCAGAATCCGGCACTCAGTCATGAGCGCCGAAAGGTGCCGGACACAGCTACGGCTGCCGTGAGCATCCGGTCAATGATAACGTGTCCCCAACACATGTGTATGGAACCCACACGTGACGGTGTCCCAGATGTGCCAATCAACAAAGGGAGACAGAGACCTGGCTGATAGACCTGTAGCTACAAAAGAACAAACAGCTCTTGTAGAAGACTCTTCGGTTTCCTGAATACACGATATCCGACTCTGAATGCACAACCGTGTTATCTATTCTGCTGTTCTTTCTTAGTCCAGAAATTACTGAGTTTCTCAATTTCCCCACTTCCATGTAGAGAGCTAATTTCTAGAATACCTTACAGACAAGCCTCTTGAAGTTTAAAGCATTCTGCTAGTTCTGGGTGCTCTAAGTCGTGCCCCTGCCCTGTGGAGGTGGGCGAAGTGTTCTGGAGGCATCGATCTTCTCTTTTCCAGTTGCCTTAGAATGTCATGTGCACAGAGGTTCTGACTGAGCACTTCCTGAGAACGACCCAGACATTCTGGTTCTCACTGTGAAGCGAGGGCATCTCTGCACCTGAGGTACAGGGGCCATTGTCAGGGCAGGTCTCGTTTTCCTGCATCCAAGTGGGCAGTGGTCAGTCCTCGGTATCTCAGGATGGGATATCTTGGTGGCCTGTCAGCGTCTTAAGTGTGAAAGCAACATCATACCCCACGAGACGCAGCAGCAAGCAGAGCCGCAGGGGGGGACTGAGCACCGCATGCCAAAGCTGCCTGACCCGGGGACACCTGAGCTTCTGGACGAGAACCCACGAGGACTTGGGTTTCCCTCCACCAACCACAGAGAGGAGGAACATCCCACGTTGCGACAGCCACTTCCACCTTCTGTGGTCTTTTAAGCTTCTGCTTTCTTCCCCTGGGGGGCAAAGAAGTGTCTAGATGTCACCCGAAACCTCCCCACGGGGTTAGAAGCACAGGGTCATGGCTTATTTCACCCTAAATTCCTACGTCAACACACACACACATTTTTTTATTTGTTGGTTCTCACTGGTCTCAACAAAAGGTCAAAGGCTGCCAATTCTCTGACTTCATAATTCTTTTGCTGTGCCACAGGAATAAAGGATTTTCATTTTCATTTTCTCGTTTTATTATTTTGCCATAGCTTTACATTTTTTTCAAATTGACGGAAAATTCCCAGATATTCTAGGAACTTATCTTTGTGCCAAAATAGAAATTACTGAAATGCCACCCACTGTAAAGCTATATTTAGGTTACGCTGAGACCTGTGCATCCCTTCAGAGTACGGGCAAACTGAGTTCCCCGTGCAAACTCGCCAAGGGAGAGCCGAGTGCAGTGACTCATTTGTTCAGAACTGTGTGTTTCTCCTGTAAGATTCTGACACGGCCAGGAGGAGAACCACACGCTTCCAGGGCGGGCGTCAGTGGCAGCGGTGAGGGGGCCCCAGGCCGAACCCTCATGCAGGCGCCAGGCGAAGCAGCTGCAGGACCTCAGCTGCTCTCTTCGCTTCCAAACCATGGAGGAGGAAACTCTATCATCTAAAAATACGAGTGGCTACACATTTCCATTTGTTTTTTAACTCACCATGACTTCAAACAGAGGCCCTGGGCGCACACTAACCGGCGTGCGAGCTTCTGAACACACTGAAAGTTAACGGCACCATTTTGCATTTAAGTGTTACTTTTAAAATTTTGGAGAGACTTTCCTAAATTCTTTTTTATTCACAACTGTTCTGAGGGACAAAGGTAAGAATTATTCTTTTTCCATGAGAAAATTAAACCAAAAAGAGGTGGCTTCTCACAGCAGCCATTCCTGTGAGAACCCAGAGCAGACCTCCTCTGCTGACCGCCGCCCGCACGCACCGGGTCTCCGTCCTGGTTCCACCAAAATGCTGAACATCCTGATCCCGTGCAAATGGTCTCAACAGACCTGGGGCTCACGTGCGCCCCTTCCGCACCAGACGAGGACTCATTTCCGTGGCAAAGTGCGTGCCACACACGAGTGGGGGTAAAGAGTGTGCACCCCTGTGACCCAGCCGCACTGCCCACTGGGTCACTCCTCCTCCTGGGATTCTTAACCTCCTTCTGCCCCCATTTCCAGACGTTTTGGGCAATGCCTCTTGACTCTGTGCTTTCCCAGGACAGAGGATCCCACGCCCTGCAGAATCCACACGCAAACCGAGGGGCAGCACCCAGGATGTCCGCCCTGGGGCGGAGGCAGCAGCGGTCACAGCCCCGGCCCCTTCACGTGCTGGAGTCCGCACACGCTTGCCTGACAGCCCTGTCTGGAGCGCATTTCAACGTCAACCAGAAGCAACGGCGACACAGGTGCGGCTCCGGCCCTCTGCTGAGCCAGGCGTGCCCCTTCTCCAGCAGACACTGGTGCAGGGTCTGGGACGGTGGGGAAGCCGGGGACCCTGACGGTGGGCGGGCTCCGGGCACGGAGTGCGCGGAGACGGGCGCTCACTCACCTATGTGTGTCTGGGCCATGACATCAGCCAGCCGGTGGGCGGCGCCGCTGCCTCCACTCTGGGTGGACGAGGACGAGGTGGTGGAGGTCGTGGAGCCGTGGATAGCCTGGCTGATCCAGTGTTCCATGTTGATGCTGCCCTGGCTGGAGGTGGGCGTCCCCTGGGAGTCACCCTGCACTGAGCCCTCGTCGTCCGAGCCGGAGGAGGTATCTGCGCAACACGGGAGAGGGGACGGGAGAGGGGCGGCAGTGGAGCTGGCGGGTGCGCCCCGCCACCCCGCTCCCAGCCCTGGAGCTCACGGGCGTCAGAGTTGTTCATTTCAGTCGAGAAATGTCCCACCTAAAACACCTCAAGTGAATCGCGCTAGGAAAGGTTTCTGCCATTACCGTCTCGGGCAACCGCATGCTCACAACCCTTCTGCACTCAGCATTTTGGGAGGAAACCACACGTGTTCTCTCGCACACGTGCCTGGCGTGGCGGTCGAGGGCAGCATGTGCTCAAGATACTGACCTGGCACGTGTTTCAAAGGGACAGTGTCTGTGGCCCTCGTTTAGTCCTGAGCTGGTTCTCTGAGCTGAGACTGACTTCCATGCTCAATCTGAGTGCAAGACAACCACGTGCCTCCCCAAACGGTGAACCGGGGGAAGGGGGCGCGCCGCCGCAGGAGCCCCGCCCCCTACTCTGACCAGCCGCTCGCGCCACAGCCTCCGCCTTTGCCTAGGACAATGACTGTCACGGCACACTTTGCGGACCACCTAAATGTATTCGCTATTACATTCGATTCCTATAAAAATGTTTTCAATATTTTTCTGTGAAAATCATGTATCTCGGATTGAGATTAAACATCACTTTTTTCATTTACGTTAACGAAAATACTTTTCATTTAACAACTTTTCTCTTAGCAGCAAGGTTTCCGAAAGGAAATCACTGATGGACTTGTTAAACTTCAATTTGATCATGACATTCAGGATCCTACCTCTACGTGAGTTACATGAGCCAAGAGGGAAAAACGGTGTCAGTTCCTCTAGAATGTTTAATGAGAACGGGAAATGAAAGTCTGTCTTAAATCGAGATGCAGGACTTTAACACAACAGTATTTATACAGGATGTTTACATAGATATTTTGTTATTGTGACATGACCTATGCTGTCTGGAAACTTTTTAAAGTTTCGTTTTAGAAATTTGTTAGAAAAGCAACAATATTAACAACTTGACAAATTCTCTCCCCCTGCCTTGCATTTTAAAATAACTTAGAATTATAATTCGCATAAAAATGAAATGTACCCAATTTTTTGTATTCAAACCTAAGCCTTTTTTCAACTTTTTTGTTGTGGTAAAATACACGCAACATAAATTTACCATCATAACCACGCTCACGTGCAGTTCCGTGGTATAAACACTTTCATAACATTGCACGGCCATCACCACCACCGTCCCATAGCTGATTTCATTCTGCAAATCTGAACTCTACGCCCATTGAATAACAACTCCCCATTACCCCTCCCCAACACCTGGCACCCACCACTCTACTCTCTGTATGATTTTTACTATTCTAAGTATCTCACGGAAGTGTAGTCGTATAGTATTATCTTTTTGTGACTACTGATGATTTCTCTGAGCATAATGTCCTCAGTGTTCGTTCGCGTGCAGCCTGTGCCAGAATGTCCTTCCTAAGGCTGAATAACATTTGATGGCATGTACACACCACATTGTGCTTATCCATTCATCTGCTGGACACTTGGGTTGCTTCCATGTTTTGGCCATCATCAACATCAGTGTACAAATACTGGAGATCCTGTTTTCAATTCTTCTGAGTATATATTTAGATGTGGGGTTGCTGGGTCATACAGTAAGTCTATTTTTAATTTTCTGAGGAACCTCCACACTGTTTCTCATAGAAGGCGGCACCACTTTACGTCCCCACAAATAGCACACGAGGGTTCCCTTTTCTCCACGTTCTCGCTGGCACTTGTAAGTTTTGGCTTTTTGATAGTGGGCATCCTAAGGGGTTAGGTCAAATCTCATTATGGCTTTTATTTGCATTTCCCTAAAGAACAGTGACATGAGCATCTTTTCATGAGATCATGGCCACATGTATGCCTTCCTTGGGAAAATTTCTATTTAAGTTCTCAGTCTTAAGACTTTTGAGAAATGCACACAGCCACATACGCATGCCTCACCCCGAATGCGCCCTCAGACCCTCGACTGTCCGTGTTCCACTCCCCATCCCAGCTTTCCACAGCAAAACTGCAGACCACCAGCCCTCCTGACAGACACACCACCCCTCCTGACAGACACAAAAGTCCTCGAGAAATGCTAGCAGACCGAATCAAGCTACATGAATATAATTTTATGAGACTTTCAGTGTACTGTAGCTCTGAGGCTTGAAGGTTCGCACTTTTACACAGACGTGACGATGGGTCACCTCCCTCCGCGTTGAGTCAGGGCGCACATGCCGTTTCTGGATCCCGCGGTCACAAAACTGGAATCAGAGCACCGCTGTTTTACAGCTAAAAGGCGGCAGCGGCCGGGCCGGCGCGATCGGCTCTGAGGCGCGCTGCCTGCGCTGCGGAGCGGACGGAGGGCTGCTGCTCACCTGGAGGCGTGTAGGCGTCCATCGAGGTCTGCACGACCAGGGACCTGCGCTTGGAGGGCATAGGCACTGCCATCTTCCTTTCTTTGTGTTTCGCAAGCGCCGCCTGAACAGCTTCTGTGTGGACGTCTAAACAGAAAGAGAGCTCAATGACCCCATTGTTCGGGGACGTCCCGAAGGCCACATGCTGGTCCCTGCTCGCTCCGGGCCTGTGGACGAGTTCATCCTCCGGCAGGGACTGTCACAGTGCACGGCTGGGGAAGGAAGGGAAAGCGTGAACCCGCTGGCTGGGAGCCCGGGCAGAGGACATGCAAGTTCCCTCGCAGACCGTCACTCGCTTCACGACCCTCGACTCTGCATGAACAGCACTTCCTGGCTGCACACGGCTCTGTGACGTGCCTTTTCTTAGGGTGGGTGGGCCTTGACCTTTAGGTACTTCTTCAGTCACACCCACAAGTCTCAGAACTCCTTCTGGTGCTGAGGGAGGTATGGTCACCGTACAGGTCGTCTGCACGGCTTCAGCTGACACTTACCGCTCACTCAGTCCCGGCTAGTCACTGTGGGTGTCTGGGGACTACTAAGCTGTCACCCTGACCCCACAACTGCTACTCGCTGCCTGATATGAGGCCACATCCCCGGACAGGTGCTGGGATGTGAGCAGCTCACGCTCCATCGGGTAGAGACAGACCACGGTCGAGAGACAAGAAAGAATGGACATGGGGACACAGGCTGATGGAGCAACAACTTCGCCCCAAGACAAAGGCTGTGCTCTCCTCGAGAAGTCGAAACAATAAGGGGGAGTGAGCACACAGTCAACATGGGGTGTCCAGGGAGAGGGCGACTGGCTCGAGGCCCCAAAGTGCAGGAGCAGAGGAGCTGGCAGCGCAAACGGGGCCCGGGGCCGGGCATGCAGGACAGGACAGGACAGGGCCTACACGTCGCATTCTCGCCAGGCACCAGGGGCCCTACAGGGACAGCATGAGCTGCTTCCACTGGGTGGGGCTATCTGGCTGCCGTGAGGCCTGCGAGAGACCGAGAGTGGGTGCCAGGAAGCCGGGGAAGGCGCGGGCACGCTTACAGCCCACTCGGTCCTGGGGCGGCGCGGGGTTCTGGCCTCACAGGCAACGATGCACAGATAGCACGCCCTCCCCGGTCGCCGGTCTGCCAAGGGCATGGCCAAGCTTCCAGCTCAGGCCTGGTGTCCCCAGGCCAAGACTCTCCACCCCGAGCCGCGCTGCCCAACTGCCATCCCATGACAGCCCCACCCGGCCGGCACGTCGCAGGGGGCCGGTCACATGCCGCCCACGTCCCTGAGTGAAAGCTGCTTCACTGGGACCCAGCCGCACGTGCAGACGGAGGCTGCTGGGCGCTGACGGCGGAGCCGAGTCGTGGTGACAGCCCGCGAGGCCCAGAGTGCTGAGCGGGCCTGCCGCCTGCCTGTCTCAGAGCGCACAGCCGTGCACCGCTCCGACCCCAAGCGCCGCTGCGGCAGAGACTGAGCCCTGGACTCTGTTTTAAACTCCGATGCAAAGCCGCCGAGTGAAGGACTCGTTCACGGCCCGAAGCCGAGGAGCTCACCGGGAGCTGGGAGAGTACTTAATTCTCCGTACCTCAAACACGCTCGCTCCATTTCATATGTCCCACTTCCAAACTTTTGTATATAATTTCAAATTACAGAAAATGTGCAAGAAAAGTACAGAGAATTCCCATAAACTTTTACCCACATTCATGATTGTTCACATTCGCCCCACTGCTTTTTCTTTTAGCTCACCATCAGAAAATAAATAGCAGACACCATGCTCCTCTATACCTAACTATTCCAATGCGTTTCCTAAGAGGCGTTATTCTCTTAAGTCACGTAAATTCTCAAATTCCGGAAACGGAAGTTACAGCACTGTTACCTAACGCAGCTGTCCCAGGACCTGCCTTCGCAGCCGCTGTCTGTGCTGGGCCCCCGCAGGCGCACGCGCGCAGTGCAGGGTCTGCCAGGAACCTGGGTGGAGTTCATACTCGGACGTGGGGGCTCCTTGCTCGGTGGCTCATTCTTGCCCAGGTTTTCCAGCTGTTCTGACACATCATTCCAGTAGTCCATGGCTTTCGGGAGTCCCACGCCAAGGCGCGTGGGGAGGACCTCCACGGCGCCTGGTACACAGGAAGACGGCCAGGCGACGGCCCTGGGCATGTGCCGGGCCACCCGCAGCCTCCCGTCTGCATCTGGAAGGCGAATCCCAAAGGGCAGCCACTCGGCCCTAGGTCATTTCACATCATCACTCACTGTTCACCCACCAAATGAATGTGTACCGAATGTCTACTGTGGCAGGCTCTGCTCTGCCATAAATTATCTCCACTTTCTTTTTGATTTTTTTTCTTAGTTAATCTAGTTGGAAGTTTAGCAACTATACTGATTTTTTTTTTTTTTTTTTTAGGCGAGGCAACCCTTGGTTGACCTCACAGATTGCAAGGACCTTGTCAGTTTAGAATCCCTTATTTTTATTTTTTACGCCTACAGCACCTGGTCTTCCTAGGTGGTCTCCCATCCAAGTACTAACCAGGCCTGACCCTGCTTAGCTTCCGAGATCAGACGGGATCGGGCTTGTTGAGGGTGGCATAGCCGTAGACAGATCTTTTCAAAGAAACAGCTTTTTGGCTTCTTTGATTTTCTTTATTGATTTCTGATGTTTTCAATTTCATTAGTTTTCTTCCAACTTTTATTATTTATTCTCTTCTTTGGATTTATTTTGCTTTTCCTAGTTTCCTTAGACTGAAGCTTAGATTACTGACTTTAGACCTTTCTTCTTTTCTAATATATGCATTCGGTGCTATAACTTTTGCCTCTAAGCAATGCTTGTGCAGCATCTCACAAATTTTGATCACTTGTATTTTTATTTTTTTAGTTCAAGATACTTTCAAATTTCCTCTATGACTTTTTCTTTGATCTACGTTATTTAGAGCATGTTGCTTAATCTCCAAGTATTCTTTATGCAGATGTGAGTATCTATTCACCTTCGGTCCACCGAGGAGCTCCACATTTTTAAAATCCTTTTGGCATTTGATAAAACACTCTTTAATGCTATCTGCAATTTCTTACTTTTAATAAAAATGTGACAGCTGTCAAAAATGCACTAAAATATAAATGGAGATTGAACATGTTCACTTTCCACCTTATGGGCAACTTTATATAGACTTGAAAATTTTCTTCAGTTGTTTAGTAAAAGTGAAAGAGAAAGGGTTTTTCCTGCCACAAGATATAATTTTTTTTAAAAATATAAACAAGCATAACTTACACCACCCTTCATCCTGGTTACTGCCCGATTGCCAGCATCTCCTCAAGTTCTGTCTCGGAGCCCCATCTCTCTGCTCACATCATCCGTCCCCAACTGTGGGGCAGCGCTTTGCCCACCGACCTCAGGTCTGATGGATCGAAGACGGGTTGCTGATTTTCCATTCGTCAGGTTTTCTCTGGTGGTGAGGACTTTCATGCTTCCACGACACGCTGGCATGGAAACCAGTATTCATCCTCTATTCCATTTCGACTTTATTATCTTCTCATTTCTCCTTTCTGTGGACTTATCAATATTCCTTTTCTAACTTTTTAAGTAAAATCCTTATTTCTTCAATTTCCAGGATCTCCGCTTACCTAATATAAATATTTTAGGCTATCAATTTCCAAGTACCATTTTGGTCCACTGCACGGATTTTGATTAATCACTTTTTCACCTTAAACATACAGGCTGCTGACAGGTCCCTGCTTCCAGCCAGGAACCCACCCCGCCCAGCCACGCCCCCTAACTGTTCCTGGTACACCGACATCTCTGAAATGCACATCTGACTGCGCTGGTGTCTGTTTAAATGACCAGGCAAAGATACCCTGACTGGGTTCATTTTCATTAGCTTTGGACGAACAGACCTCACTGACCTGTCTTCACCGCGTCCCCCACCTTTGCCCCCACTCCCGCACAACCTTGGCCCTGGAGAGCTCTGTGAAGAATGTCCCTTTGTGCTGGTAGCTTCTGTATCTGCAGTGCCCTGTGGAGGAGACTCTTGCCTAAAATGTGGCTAGTGAAACAGAAGAAAAGGAACTTAAATTTTCTTTAATTTTAATTGATGTAAACACAAAATGACCCATGTGGCTTTCGGCCGCTGTGTTGGACAGTGCAGCTCTACGTGAACAGAGCCTGTCTTTCACGGGGAATCGTTAGTTGAGTATGTGGTCTGATTTGTACTTTCTTCTTACTCTAATGTAAGAAGAGTTTCTGATTTGTATTGGAATAAATAAATAATTGAGTTGTTCAGAGAGAAGACAGGTTATAAAGAACCACATTTAAATCAGTAAATTCAAGTTGAATAGAAGGAAAAACCCTTCTCAACCTAGAAAATTAAACTTTAGCATCAAAGAAGAACTTGCTATAGGGTAAATAAACTCTTTAGAAGCAAACACAATATTTTCTATATTTTTGCCTTGCCTTCAGAGCACAGCAGAGTACTCAGCATACAAAATTATTTGCACATTTGTTGAATGAATACTAGGATACAAGTCTTTGTTCCCAGAAGCTAAACATTGTCATGAAACAGACTTTAAACTCTTGTCAGCATAAAATCAGCCTCAGGAATGAATTCAGATATACAAGTTTTTATTTCATGTTCTCTCTCAATTAAAAAAAAATAATAAAATAAAGAACCAAATTTTTACAAGTCTCGTAACATTGATTCTGACTCAAAGAATGCTTTACGCTCTTAAAAATTGCTGACAACCCTTAAAAGTGTTTGCTTATGGGGGTAATACTTTGATATTTGCTGTATTAGAAAGTAAACTTTAAAAGTTTTGAAACACAGGACTTCACAGTCACAGTTTCACTAGCTGTCAGAACCCTAACCTCCCCTCATCAGGCAGCCTCTGGAAAAACCGACTGTACACTCGTGAAAAAATGAGAGCGAAAAGGGCAAGTAACAAGTGGGTGTTATTCTGAAGACAGTCTGACCTCACAGACATCCCTGCTGGGGTCGGGAGACCCCTGGGACCCCTGGGCGCCTCGAGCTCACCGTCCTGGTGGAGGACAGGGCTCCGTGACATTTTCCCTGGAGTGCGGGGGGAGGAGTCCGCACGGCTGACCTGAGAGGCAGCTGCCTTGTCCACGTGCACACACAATGTAACGTATCGTTTTTACTGTTTCTAAGCTCATAAAAAGACAAACATATTGCGCTGCATTTTGGTTTTAATATTCTTTGTCATAGTCAGCCTTGCTTGGAAAGAAAAACAACACAAATCTCTAGGTTCTCTTTCCTAGGGTTTTCAGTTGGGGGAGGGGAAGGGAGTATTTAAAAATAGCTAGAGTTTCTAAAGCTCTAATTTAGACTTTATCAAGTAAAAGTAATAAAGTGCCTAATATAGAGCTTGACATTTTCTAGATGCTCAGTAAACACCTGTTCATGATTCATCCACTTTCCGAATCAAAGTTTCCAGACGAAGTTATGTACATAGAAGAGAGGGGCAAATGTCACCACGAACCCTGTGGAAGTTCATCACAGCGTCAGGCTGCAGGCTCAGGAACGAAACGGAAAAATGGTGCCAGGAGAGGTTAAGTTTGAGGCTATACGGTTGACTAGATTGTTAATTAGGTCAATCATCTAAAAGATAATAAAATTACTTCTTGCTGATAAACTTTGGTCCTTGAAGCAACCAAAGGAACTCTACTGAAAATTAAGTGGTCAAAGAAATTTAGAAAGCAAAATTTCCTGAGGGCCACAAAACTCTTTTGAATGTCTTAAATCTTCTAAGCTGGCTCGGGAGAAAATAAACCAGAAAATCCTGAAACATGTACACTGGTAACAAACTACAAGCTAAGGTTTCGTATTGTGTTTTTAAAAACAACGTAAGAACACAGACATCATTACGACTAGATTATACTGATGACAGGACAGAGCACCGAGTGAGCCCTCACAGCAATCCACGGGCCCTTTTCTCCTTTCCTGTACGGTGGCTGCCGTGACATGCGTGTGTGTGTGGGGTGGGGGTGGCACTGGTTATAGAAAATGAGAACCCCAACTGAGATTTCACAAACGTGTGGAAAGGCTCAATGGATAGGCTGGTTGTACATGCAAATTAAGCAGTCATTATTCAGAACTGAGAGGAGTAAAAATTTTTGAAAAATAAAAGTGTATATGAAATTCATTTCCTGTGCCTTACATCAAGATCCCCAAGCCCCAGGCCACAGACCAGTACAGGTGCTAGACTGTTAGGACCTGGGCCACACAGCAGGAGGTGAACAGCAGGTCAGCAAGAGAAGCCTCATCTGTATTTGCAGCCGCTCCCCAGCGCCAGCATCACCGCCTCAGCTCCACCTCAGATCATCAGGCACTAGATTCTCATAGGAGCACCGGCCCCTGGCGCCAAAAAGTTTGAGGACCACTAACTTACATGACACTTCAAGGAATGTCTACATGAATTTCCATAGGGATTCTCTACATAGACAGTGAAGAGCTGAGGCAAACCCCCCAGCTCCAACCTACAAGCAGAGACCAGAGACCACCACCTACGCAGGTGCACCACCTGGACACCTCAGAGCCACCTGCTTCTCTCTCTCCCACAGCCCTATGTTACTTATCATATCTCAGCTCTCACTGGCACTGGCTCATCCCCTAAACACACACGGCCTCAGGCATCTGGGACTCCTCCCTTTCTAATCCCCACTCCCCAGTGCCACCTACCAAAATCATCTCCAAACCCGAACACTGCTCCGGTCATGCCCAAATCTCCAAATGGGGATCTTTCAGATAAAGTCCAAATTTCTGAGCATCGTATATGAAGATCTTAAAATCTGACCCCTCCTACAAAATTACTTGCTTTTCCCCAACTGTACTATGCTCTCATCTTCCGTCTGTCCATCCTTCCAAAACTTTTAACCAAGCAATATTTTAGGTGTTTGCATGCATGAATAAACAAAACAAAGACCCTTGTCTTTGTGGACCTCGCATTCCTAAAGTAGATGGGTAAGCAGGTTATGGTTGATAGGTAATAAATGGAGAGATGATAGAAAGATGGATGATTGACAAGTAAATAGATAGATGGTTAAGAGACAGCTAACTAGATGGCTAGGTGACCGATACAGGTAGGCAGGCAGAGGACAGATGGATAGATTACTGACATAGGTAGAGAGAGAGATGACTGATGGACAGATAGATAATGGACAGTGTCGGGGTGGGAAGTACAATGGAAACCAACGAACCAGGATGGGAAGTGTAGGGACTGTGTATGAAGTGATGCAGAGCCTTTCCATTGGAACTGGGTGGTCAGAGAGTGCCTCGCAGGAGCCAGCACACCTGAGCAGAGCCCTGATGGGAGTGGGGAACCGGCAGTGTGTGTGCAAGGGGAGACGACGGGCAGAAGGGACAGGCAGTGTGAAGCCGCCCTCCGTTCTCCTCCTCAGTGTCCCCACAGCGGGGCGCTGGTCCCACAACCTCTTCCACCTTCAAAGACCAGAGGTGACATGCACATGAGTGAGACGTACCTGAGGCCACCACCCCGGCTGCATTAACCTCTCTCAGGCTTTCACTGTCTGACCACCTGTCCTTCCCACCCCCTAAAATAACCAGGAGTTGCAAAGCACCGTGCACCTTATCGAAGGCCATAGAAACATCAGGTTTTATCGTCCCCGACCTCTCACGTGAGGAAACACCAACGGTGTAGGAAACCGACTGTGCTGGGGCCTGATTTCATCTCAATCTAAAAGGTAACACAGTTACAGGTTAGAAACGGACACAAGGTCTAATCTTCCACGTGCTAAGAAGCCAGATGACAGGGCCGGACGAAGCTAGACTGGCACCTGCTCTGACAAGCTACTCGCTGTGAGACCATCGACAATCATATTCTTGCCTGAACTGTCATTTTCTCATCCACAGAATGAAAGTAAGACTACTTGACTACTTTCTTTGAGAACTGAAGATGCTGACAACAGTAAACGAGTCCACGTGTCTACTGTACGTGAATCTACGTGTCTCCGTGTACATGCGCATACCAAGTGTTAGCGCATTATCAAGACAGAGGAGCTGGCGGGAGCCGCTCATGGCACGCTGACAGCACGATGTCTGTGCCCCTGCTGTCCCAATGATTCCAAAGGGCCCCTGAGACGCCTGAGTGAGATGGGCAGGCTCTCGACACGCGCTGAGCATTGGCGTAGCTCTGAGGCACAAGGTAGAGCTGGGAACACACACCTGCTTTCACCCCACCCCACGCACCACCTCAGGCACCGAGCTCCTGAGAAGGCCGAGAGCCAGGGGCCGGCAGGAAGGCCGCACTGGGCCTTGCCCAGTTTCCTGAGTGCACCCTCCTCTCGTGCAGACACCGACACTGGATGCCGTAAAGTCTCCATCTTCCCGTTCTCCCCCACAGAAAGGAGAGCGGGGCCAACGAGTCGGCAGATGGCTCCTGAGAGAGCACGACAGGGGGTCTGTCCTCATTAGTGGGAAGGTCAGAGGGATGTGGCCCCATCTAGCCCTGCTGTGAGCTGGCTGAGCTACTTTATTTCCTGTAGCCTCGGCCTCTGCTTTTGTGACACGAAAAGGTAGCAAGCACTTCACCTTTCGTTATGAAAAGGACATGACATCACATCTGTGGAAGTGGTTTGCAAAACATAAAGCGATATACAGGTGTTACAGTTTAAACCATTAGCAGCAGCCCACACGTGTCCTGAACCATGTCCCAGCAACACTTACCGATGACATCCTTTTAAGAGGTATAGAGAAGCAGGGAAAAACAATCGTTATCTAGATCTTGAAAAAAAATCTCGCAAAAAGTAATTAAAGTATTAATCACAGTACACGTTTTCTGATGCTAAATTAGTGAAATAAATTCAAGCCAGCCAAGCCCAGGTGATGACTACAATAAAACGGAATTACCAAGACAGCATCATAAAACACAAGGGCGATGACAAACAAAACATAAACAGTTCTAAGAATTTTTCTTTAAACTGTACTTGGAAAACAGAAGTCACTGAGATTTAAAAAGAAAAAAAATCATACAAGCAACCAAGTTCATAAAAAGTACAACCAAACTGTTGAACAGTGACACCTAAAAGGAATGAGCGAAGTTCAGCTCCTGAGAAATTAGTTTTTAAATTACTATGAGATTCTAAATAGTAAACACTATCTTTAAAATGTGCAAGTAGTTAACTATTTACAGAATTTCAGCGTGAACACTAGAGAGAACACGTGACGAGACGGGACGCTGTCGTCTGTGGGTCACACACGGAGCGGCACATTCGGACTTGCTGCGGTCCCGCCTCACACGCACGCAGCCGCTGCAGACACGCGCCCACTCGTCCACGTCAGCACCTCAATACCACAGACCATGGCGTCAGAGACCTCGCGTCCACTCTGGTACCTTACCCGACCGGTAGCGCTCATCTCGTGACCCTGAGGACCTTCGGCGGTGGTAGCGGGAGGAGGAAGGAGTGACCGGGGCCCGGCGCTCTGGCGGCAAAGCTTGGTCCACCCCTGGGGTAAGGGAAACAGCAACGTAAGGTGAGGCTGTACGTGGCAGCTGGCATCAACTTACTCTGTGCACAGGTGCCCTGGCAGGTCACAGCCCAGACGCCCCATACCCACAGCCCAGCCGGAGCTCGCGTGGGAGAGGGTGCAGGCCAGGCGACGGATGACGAGGCTGAGGAGAGGTGACCAGCAGGGCACCGTGGCCCTTAGAAACGGCACAGGCTCCTGCTCACTGCACTTGTCTGAGGCGTCACGGGGAGAGACGTAAACTCGGGCACAAGCAACGCTGACATCTTCAGGGTTGGATAAAAAAATAATGGAGCTCGAAGCACAGAACCAAGTTATGGTCTTTTTCACATAACAAACATATAGAGAGAATTAAAAAGTACTTAAGAAAACTTAAGATTACATTTATCAATGCTAACTTTCAAATAAATCTCCCAGTTTATTTCAACAACATAATTCAGGTAACAAGAATTAAGCATAAACGTCCATCTTTGTTCAGTCCAAATTTCTAAGTCTCCGGAACCTTACTACATTTAAAGGTAAGTAACGGAACAGATGAACCCAAAATGCTGATGTTGTCAGGTAAAATGACCTGATGGGTACGAGTCCACACTGGCCTGAACCTGGCAACCACAGTACCTCTCATACTTCAGAACTAGAACATCCACAGCACCGCCTGGACAAAATGCATCCCGCGGGACAGACGTAGCCGCCACAGCTCAGGGGTGTAGACGTGGGGGCACTGAGCACGAAGCACGAGCTGCTGCTGCTGCTTCCTCAGAAAAGGACCGGTAAGCGATGCCTGGTAGGACGTGAACCGGAGACCACAGCCTTAACACAGCCCTGTTCAGCCCTGGTTCTCAGGATGACTCCAGGGGCGTTACTCATCACCTGCGACAATCTCGCTCTTGGAGTTTCCTTCTGCTCTCATGCTGGCTGGCTGGCCAGATTCTAAGCAAAATTATCTGTAAATTTGAAATTTTACTTGTATATTTGTTTGAAAATTATTTGTACGCATCGCCTTTCATGCCGATTACTGCTGCTGAGAGGTGAAGTGTCATTCTGCTGCTGTAATCTTTACGTAAAAGCTGTTTTTCTCTCTTTTCTTGTCAGCTTCACGATTTCTTCCTCATTCCCCGCGGGTGCTGCCGGCAGTGCTGAGCTCCGTGGCAGGCCCCCAGGTCTGTGCCCAGCAGGTCTCCCACCTGGGCGGCTCCATCCACCCAGAGAGGAGGCCTCCCGTCTCCTGTGCCGTGTTTGCATCCAGGGCCAGAGCTGTCCTCGCCCCGAGTGTGCACGTTTAGTGCCTTGGTGTTCCGTGCACCGGGCGTCCATTTCTCCAGGGAGTACCCTCTCTGGGGAGCGGGGGCACGGGTCACCACTTCCCGGATGCTGAGCCCCCTCGGCGAGCGAGGAGCCTCACACATCACGGAGACGTGTCACCGCTTCTCTCCCCTTCTCCTGGCCGAGGGCTCACTCATGTCCTGGTGCAGTTCTGGGAAGAACAGCCAAATGGACACTTTCGTGAGGCCAAGGTTACACAGCACTCAACTGGTATGTGCACCTAATGGTTCTCTTTCAACCGCAGTCTTGTTACCTGCCAGGCTTATTCAAACCTGCTTCCCAGACGGGCTTCGACCTTGACCCCTTCTAGGCCCCCAGGTGGGAGGTACACAGTCCTGACACACGCGTACCCTCTACGCAGACAGGTGGCTCATGCTCACCTGTGTGTGGACCCCGCCTGTCTGTCCTGGAAAGCTAACAAGCACACAAACAGCATCAACATTTGCAATCCCAGGCTGAAACATGGAGTTTACAACGCAAGTTCTGAAAAGAAACAAATTTGACAAAAGGAGAACAGCTTCAACAGGTCACAGTGACAAGGCGTTAAAAGACACTAAAATATTGGTGAGCATGTCCACTCCTTAACTTGCATCTGACCTCCCTGTGAGTGAAATCTGAGGTGGCTAAAGCTGCGTTCTGAGAAAAAGCCATCGGTCAAACATGCGACTCTAAAGTAGAGTTCCACATCACCGCAGGGGTGCCCGGAGCGACAGAGGAGGGTCCGGCTGGTCGCACACCGCGGGACGTGGCCAAGCACTGCTGCTGGGATGGGCCCCTTCCCGGCGACGCTGACGCGCGGGGAATCAGTAATGCTGAGCCACGTAACCATGGCTCAGAATTTGGCGTCGTTGAAGTCTGGCATTCACACCACATCTCGGGAAAGCTGCAGACCAACCAGAGTGTGACCAGTCCCAGGATGACAGAGACCCCGGCTGGGTGAGTAGCTGTCCGAAAACACGGAAGCCAGGCAACAAAAATTAGCCCACCTCAGGTGACACATGACGAAGCTCAAGATGGGCTCCTTCCCGCACGACAGGGACCAGCAGTATATGCCAGGTGCTGGCCCAGCTGCAGAGCCCCCCGGGGACCAAGGGGGACAGCTCCAGGGACAACCTATGCCTCGGGTCTGTTTCCCACCTTTAGACAGAACTGAAAAGAGCGACTGGCACATGCCTGCACTGGCGTCAGCGCTGTATCTCTGCGTCATTCACTGGCACCCCCCAGACGCAGGCGCTGGGGCTGCTGCCGTCCTATGTGGAAGTGTGGGCCCCGATCTGGGCTTTCGCCTCCAGCCAGACCCACCTCGAGCAGCATTTAAACATCTGCTCCTAACTGCCCTTTCTTTTGCGATGGGTGTCCTCCCCCACCTGCCGCACCCCCACCCCCCAAACTTCCAGGTACCGTCATCACTTGAGACAGAGGCCCTGTGCTACTCCAGGCCACGTGCCGGTGCAGTAACTATGTTACGTGGCCTGACCCCTCACAGGCAAATACTGCCTGCTGTCCCTGTTGGCCCCCGGGCCTCTCGCGTCCCATCCGTCCCCACTTCATCCCAGGCAAGGCTCTGCCTCACCCATGTTCCTTCCCTGTGCCTTGTCAGCAGAAAATGGAGCCCAGACCCCTCCACGTGACCCTCTGTCTCCCGCACCCACCCACCCTCCGCCCGCCGCCTCTGCCACTCGGGCCGCCACGGCTCAGACAAGCAGAACGGTCACTTGGCCTGAGCTCTGCCCTGTCTTGTCACACTCCATCCTCCAAACACTCTGTCCCTCCAGATGTGGAAACCTCGTTCAAGACCAAGGGGTTTTTATTAGACCTCCAGTCATTTCTAACAGGTGACTGAGAAGGATCCCCACAAGACGATTCCTAACCACGCAGTTGTCCCTAAACACCAACCAACGTCTGATTATTAAGTGTAGTCACTTCATTGATGAAGGCAAACCAGACCCTGGATACCAGTGACTCTCTCTCTCCTGAGGACAAGAAACAGTGGTCATCGCTCTGACACAGCACTGAGCACAGGCCACACTTGGAGCCCAGGCACGTGGCTATTCTAGAAAAAAGTCAGGGTTTCTATATTCAAACAGTAACACAACACCGAAAAATCTAGGTTTTCAGCACGGTTTGGGGTGAGTGGAGGGCGAGGTGATGGGGACACAGCACGTGGACCCTCAGCCTTGCCCCACCAGGTGTGGGCAGCTCCGTTGACACGTCCCGCGGGAGTGACTCTGGCTCCCCAGGCCCTCACGAAGCCCACGCCTCTCCTGACCTCCTCACATCCGGCGTCCGCACAGCCCCCAGGCACCCTGGGCTCTGGGCCGTGGTGAAACCTCCCATTTCTCCACACTTCAAGTCTGTCCACAAACACCTTCTGAAAGGCCTGCCGTCCCGCGCCCCCAATGACACGCCTCCACGGAAGCAGCACCACCTACGGGTGCGACCAAACACGTGGAAGCACACAGCATGACCGCCGTGCGTGCAGGTGTGAGGGTCCAGGGTCACAGGCATGACGACACCACGAAACGGGCAGCTAGGAACCCCATCAGATGGGATCCCCCGCCAGCAGTGCAGCCAGCTCCCGCTCCTGCTGCTGCTGCCACTAGCCTGCCCTTCGTGAGCACAAACCTCTAACAGCACGAGCCGCTACCCCTTCCCATGAAAACACGATCGCCTGATCAGGGACTCGACCGGGAAGCGTGTGAAACACCTGGGAGCCCTCTGGTGGCACGTGTGCATTTGCACCCGCGTCCTGCGTCATGACACTGGTCTTCGCTCGTCGGAGACATGAGCTCAGAGGGCAGAGTGCGCACGTGGTCAGGGTTGGGGCGTCGTGTTTGTGCAAACACGTGCCAGTGCCAAAGCCAGTGTCACTGTGTGGTGGACGCACAGCAACCCCATGGCCAGCTACCCAGACTCCAGAGGTGTCACCTGGGAGCGGCCTGGCTACGTTCCCAGTTAACTGCGTACATGAGGGATGGAGAATCTGACGGTGATATGCCACCAAAAATGACAAGACAGTCATCTGATCAAACAGCCGCCTGCAGAAAACTAGGAACATCCCTTAGGTCACAGGGAGCAGCAAACTGCACGAGGCCTGGGCCCACGGCTCACCTAGGACACAGGTGATCCGTCCTGAGCGGATGAAAGTTCCTCCCTGGTTGGAATTCAGTGTCAGGAAGTCCATGCTAAAAATTCATGTTACGCCAGAGAGGGACGATATTTGGGCACGGGGAGCATCGCCATTCCACTGAGAGGCGACCACGATTCAAACACTTAGGTTCCTCTGTCTGGGACTTGACCCTGCATCTTACGCCCCCACCCGTCTTAAATGAACAGCACGGTGGGACTCCTGGGACAGGACACGTGCCCCCACCATCCCGGTCAGGATGGTCAAACACCGAGCCGTGCCTGGGGAGACTGGATCTTGTGGCAGAAAGAAGATACGGACCGGACTGTGTGCCCGGCATCGGAGGAGCGCGAAGGCTCTCAATTTAAAGGGAACGGTCAGAGTGACTGACCACACTGGAGAAGGCTGCCACCAGCTTCACCTCCCAAAGAGCGCGGAACACGCTGGTACGCGACTCAGGTGAGGACGTTCCTCATCTCGGAGGCCAAAGCGCAACACTCACAAACGTGTCTGTAGACGACAGGCCACCCCCACGACCCCACGGGAGAGTCTGCAGGGGGGCCAGGCAGCCCCCGAGAACACAGCCCCTCCTGAGGACAGGAGTACAGGACAGCACCTCCCCAGTGACAGTGCTGAGATCTGGGATTAGTAATATTGAGCCGGCGGAAATGAGCAGAGGGCAAAACCATTTCATCCTTCAGTCCTTCAGACGTGGACACCGCCAGCAGCACCTGATGCACTGTCTGGCATTTAAACTTATCCACATCAGGAACTGCGATGGAACTGGGACCGCGGGGAGCATCCGTCTGCCGGTGCGCATCGGGCACCACCAGGGGGCGCCCGGCTCCCCGCGTCCCTGGCTGGCTCTCCGCACTCCCTCGTGCCCTCAGGTAAGCACACGCGCCGGCTGCTCAGGGGACACACGGGAACATGTGGCAGTGGTAACTAGAGCTGCCCGCCAGCACATGTACCTTGAGCTGGCCCCGGCTCCCGCGCCAGTCCATCAGATGCAGACAGTTTCCGTCGGTCTGCCCAGTTCATCATTCAGCAAGCGTCTGCCGAGTACTCACCGCCGTCGGGAGGAGACGGCACTGTGGGCTAGCTGGGTCTTGGGACAGTCACCCACAGCGACCCATCCGCAGTGCTGTGAGTGCTCCAGAAGTGGATGCCGTGACCAATAGGCCAGATGGCCTGTCCCACCCAGAGTGACCAGGGAAGGAATCCGTGTAGAAGTGACACTTGAACTGAGCTTCAAACGACGTGCAGGGGCAGGCAGAGAGCCCAGCGCGTGCCCAACGTGTCACGGGAAACTGCATGAACATCCGACGACATCAGCTAAAGGCCGGCCAGGCCGCCGTTTGCGAGACCCTGCAGACACAGACCAGGCCCCGGCAGCACCAGACGTGGACAGAGAAAGGCGCTCTGCCCAGGAGCCAGGGCAGGCCTGCCGCCGAGGCTGAACCCTTTGGTCCCACAACCGACTCCGGGGCTGGATGATAGACAGAACTGCCCACTAGTCACCTCAGACGAGTCCCCCAGAGTGCCACAACTGCTCGATCATGGCAAATCCTGTGACAGCGCAGAGCCATCTGGCTACCGAAAAAAAGCCACGCTGGGCTTGGAGACCGCGCCCACGCAGGCCGGTCATCGTGGGGGTGGCAGGTGGGCAGTCGCACAGAAAGCCAGGCCCAGCCACCCACCCGTGGGGAAACCGGGCACTGCATGCAGGCACGGAGAGAGCCACTGGATCTCACTGCCTCTCGTCGCCAGGGCCCTGTCCCGACGGCGTGGAGGCTCGGCTGTGGGAGTCGACGCAGTGTTACGATATTCCTGGACAGTGAAGTTTAATCTCTCTTTCTGCGAGTTTTATGAGGTTTAGAGATTAATGAGATGGTTCTGAAAGACGCCGCATAGCCAAAAACTGCAAGAGCACCAGGACCGGACGAGAACCTTCCCTAAACACATTTTCTCTTTGACGGTGATCCCCCACATGTGCTTTCTGACCCTTTCCTTCACTGAATACACGACGTTCAGTTTTCTCTGTGGCTTCGGGGACACTTTCTGTCACTTAGGTTTAGGCAAGCATCCAACACATGCTCGCTGAAGATGTGTACCTTCCGGGGAAGCTGAGTCACACCACATATTCCGTGACAGTCACTCACCGCTGAGCAGAACAAAACCAGGAACCCACCTGCCCCAGGGACGGCCTTGGCAGCGCCGAAGCGAGCTACCTATTGGTTTCTGCCGAGCGCCTGAGCAAGTCGCTCTAACTCATAGTCATTCGCAGGTCTTGAAAAAACATCTGGGAAATATTTCTAGAATACTTTCTAAAGAAGTCTTAGAATTTTCTCTGATAGATAAAAATAATGTGGAAAAAAAAAGAGGGTTCACCAGAACACGAACCCCTTACAGGAAAGCGGACGGCAGGACAAGGGCAGCTGGCGAAGAGGACGTGAGGCACAAAGGCCCTGCACCAAGGGGACGGCCCCCGAGCCCGAGCCCATGCGGGAAGTCTCGGGTCAGGCCAGCTGCTCTCCCGCCGCCGCCCAGACCGAGTTTGGTGCGAGAGGCTGTCCGCCCGCACTTCCCAGAAACCAAGACAGAGGCAAGCGTGGCACAGCTGGTGGGGCCTCCGCCCCGGGGGAGGGGGCCCGGGCCGTCAGAGCAGCGTCCCCAAGCAGGCTCTCAGCCTCACGGTCCCGCCAGGCGCCGGAGGCTCCTGGGATTGTGCAAAGGACCCCACAGCTAACGCCTGACTCCACCACCCACCAACCCTCCCTCCTCCCACAAGGGTGTCACACACCCATCAGCAAGCAGCTGCGGGGGTGGGGTGGGGGTGGGGCAGCCACAGCTGGGTGACCAGGTTGCATGCCCCTCCTGAGATCATGGAGCCCAACTGTAACATTAAAGCTCATCTACATTTTGTGCAGGATTTTCCAACAGTGCCTTTTGAGATAAAACCCTTAAGATAAGCCTAAAACTTACAAGTGTGTGTTTTCTCATTCTAGGGAAAGGTGTAGGGCACTGGACTTTCGGGCTCTGTGCATCTAAAGCTTTGTCACCTCGACCACTCTGACCTGGGGGTGTGGGGGTCATTACTCTGAGGGTACACTCTGTGGGTAACTGCTATAATTTCTCTCTCAAACCCATAAGTCTGCCCGTGGGGACAGGGCTGTGACGGCTGTAGCTCCTGGTCCCTTCAGCAGATGCCAGCGGCCAGGACCTGCTGGTCCCTCCTTTGCCAAGCTCTCTGGCTATGAGACAAAGATAGGTGGAAGACCAACAATTTCAAGAAGAATTTTAGCATCTATCACGCGTCCTTCTTTCTCGAGTGTTTTTAAGTGGTGCCCCGGCTGGGAAAATGGGGCTGTGAAAACGGCGCGTTCCGTTCTAACAGAAAACACTCAGAACTGGCCCTGAGCCAGCGGGACGGCAGCAGTGCGGGGCCCCCGGCAGCCCCCGTGAGCGCGTCTGCAGGACGGGGCGCACGCACGGGACCCCGGACCCCAGCACGAAGCCCTGGAGCTGTGCCTGCAATGGTGCCGGGTGACGGTCCACCTCACACGCGTCCCCGCCGGGGGGCTTCTCTCTCAGAAAAGTGCGCTCACCGAAACGAAAGTAAAACAGAGGCCGGTTTCCTGCAGTGCTGGCCGCACGCTCCCTGCCGGCGGCTTCTCGGATGTCGCACACCCCGATGTGGCTGGAGTGTGGCGGTCTCCTCGGGGCGCCTTCACTGTGCTGCAGTCTGCACCGGGCCACCGCAGCTCCATTCGCTGCTGTAACAAGTTGAAAAAAAACTAATTAATTCAAACTTTAGTTTTTTTTAAATTTGTTACAGCGCTGAGCAGAGCCGCGGACCCCACGCAGAACAGCACAAAGCCCCACAGGGCCACACACCACAGGGCGCCCTGAGCGCCCAGCCAGCACGGCCGGCCCCGTTCTCGGCACCGCGGCTGGACGGCCACCTGCCGGGAGCTGCTTCTGTTTCACTCTCGTTTGGTAAGGCCCAGAAGCGGAAACCTGACACTGTCCAGAGCCTACGGTCAGCCTGCCAGCCATCCTCCGAGACGTGAAGGGGTGCCTGCCAAAAGGGACTCACGGTGATGGCCGAGAGGACTGCCGTCACCATGCCGCTCTGCTGGAGGATGAGAGAAGAGGAAGGGGGTCCACTGTCTAGTCATTTGCCCACACCTGCTCCTAGGGCATTCCACACACGGGCGCCAGCCCACCAAAAACTGGCTCGTTTTTAATTTACTCGGCTGCAACCTTGCTTCTTCCCCTTACAAGCCAGATGCAGCTACGCCAGCCTGCACAGCCGCTCCTCCTCTGTGTTAGGTCCCTTCAGACTGAAGGGAAGAAAGAAGGACACACGGAACAAAACTATAAACACAGCAGAAACCCAATACACGAACCTAGTGTCTGGACCGTGAGCCCCAGGACATACTCACGCCAGCAGAGCGCTGCTGGCATGTCACAGCCTGGAGCGCAGGAGGGACGGAACTGGGGGGCCACACCGTGCGCCTGAGACTTAACCATTCCCCAGCAGAAGCATCTGAGCAGCTTTAAAGGTTTCGTTTCACCAGTAAGAACGGTGGGGGCCGGGCGGCACCTGCAGCCCTGACGCGGCCATGCTTCCTCCTGGAGCATTGGCTGCGAGACCCTCCCAAAGCCTAGGCACTGCCGAGGTCAGCCCGGACCACACCAAGGTGTGGGAGCTGCAGCCTGGCAGCACTTTATTTCCTGGAACGGGCAGAACCCGGCTCACATGCGGAGAGGTTCCACACACCCGGACACGTGAAAACGCTGGAGCGAAACGGACTCCACGGTGGGGAATAGGCCAAAACCAGGTACAATCGCATTTCAAAACACACCGACCTTTACGATTTTGTAACCCCAGGCAGGATATTACATCATTTCCCAGATTTCTAGGTTTGCCTTGACCCCCAAGGACACCAATAAAAACCCTGGCTTGGTTTAAACCATAAGTAACAGCAATGATTTTTAACTCACTACATCAAAAGTCTAGCTCCTATATTTTTTATGAGTATAGCATTTTGAAGTAATCAACCACATTATTGCCCTCTACAGATGAAATACCTATTAAATTGACCAGGCACACTTATAGAAAGCCGTGCGTCTTGTGGGTTCACAAAATATATGTGCAGTCGCATGAAGGGATGGATGTGGCCAGTCCACGTCAGAAGCACGGTCTTCCCCGGGTCAGGGACTAAGGAAGGGTTTGCGATGACTTGTTTCTCTTGCGTGTGGCAGTTCACTTACAACCAGACAACGTGTGTTACCGTTAAGGTTTACGTACTCGGAGGCTGGGGCAGATAGGCTCCAATGAGCTTCGACCTCTTCTTTTCATACCCTTTTTGTGTGATGTCACCTGTAAGAGAAGGAGAGAGATTCAGAACAGTCCCCACGGGTAGAGCTGATCACTCAATGGCACTGAAGACGACATACAGTTACAGCTGTCTGTGTCCTCTGCTTGCCTTATAATTTAAAAGAAGGCACTTTACATCCTTCACCTTGACTTCTTCTCCTGCCCTCAAACAAACATACCTTGTAGCTTATGTCATGTAAAAACCCTTGGCCACACACAGGCTGGCTCCCCCCGCCCCGCTCGCGAGGTTCCGGCTCTGGTGGGGTCCGGAACGACTGTGCAGGTGTCTGCGCCACAGGCAGCCACCCCAAACCATCACTGATCAGCACACATCGTCATTAAGGAGCCTTAATCAGGATGTCGGTACCAAGGACCTCGAACTGCTAGGGTGTTACTGAAAATAAGTGACTTAGACCAAATGAAAACATCAAGTAAACAAAGCGAAAGAACATGAGACCCATGGAAATCCAAAATATGAGAGAAGGTACTTGTCGGTAAGACACGAATTAAAACGTTAGACGCGTAGATTCACATATGGACGGGCAGAGACGTCACCAGTACGCTGACTTTCCTCCTCAGTGCTGAGTACACAAGACAAGACGCCTTTGTGACACACCACGGCCCTTCCCAGTTACGAGCGCGAATGCCCACAAAATACTGATTCTGTCCTTGAAGTTTTTAGAATTTGCTTTTTTCCCCCTAATATTCTGATCAAAGCATCATTCCGAGAAGAGCCAAGAGAGCCAAGTTTGAGTAAAATTACAGCAGACACGTGAAAAGTTACCGAGTCATACGTGAATTGGTAAATGTGCGTTTTCTAGTGGTGGATGCTCTCTAGACTTGACCAGACCACACAGTGCCCTCGGTGTCTAACGTCTGACGCTTGACCGGGGCTCGCTGCGGAGCCATAAACACACGGCTTGCTTTCAAACGCGAGCTGCGAACAGGACGACGTGGAGCACACGCCTGCGCTCAGCTGGGAGCACGCTGGATGCTAGCCTACGTGGCTGGCCACGGTCAGTGCGTGGATAGCCTCCCACACCCTGCCCCATGTCGGCCACGCGACCGAAGCACCCGCGTGCACATGCACACCTGCGACGGCGTTGCAAAGGGCCAGGGAACGGGGAGCAAATGCACGAGACGCTGGCTGGTACGGGCCCTCACGTCATCCCCTTCTCTCCTGCCCTTTTCCTGTTTAGAGAAAGCAGCGCGGCTCGCTGCCAGCGTTCGTTCAGCATCACACACAGGACGCTGCGTTTTCTAGGACTTGATGTTTTCAGCGAGGGACTCACTGAAACCAGAATGCTGTAAATAGAATAATGACATTTGTTTCCAAAGATTATTGATACACTAAAGCGGTGCATCGTAGAATTTGGGGGTGAGATCAGGACATAATCTGCTAGTTATCTCGGGGTAAACACTGCAGCCACAAGTGCCACCAGCCAGTATTCTCGGGGCCAACGGGAAATGGGCTAGATGACCACTAACCCTGTACCATCTCAAGACAGAGGAAGACAACTGCAGCCCATCCTCTTGGCCCCTCAAGACCCCCGAGAAGACGGCTGCCCCAGCCTCCCTAGCCATTCGCTGTCCTCCAGTGCATGTCCCTGACCAGTCTCGGGAACTGACAAAACTATGGAGGGCGAGTGGGTGGGTCGCCGTCCACGAGCACACGGTGGCCTCTGAGAGGCTCCTGTGCACTGGCTGACACCGCTGCTCCTTTCCCAGCCATCCCCTGGCCACCTGGTACTTAGGGCATCTCCCGGGGGCTTCACACACGTCCACAGTCAAGTCCAACCTGTTTCAGTTTGTTCTGCACCCAAGCTTGGCTCGGGCTCTAGAAATCTCCCAGGTGAAGTCTGAGCACTCTCTGTGGGGCAGGCCGTCACACACTCCCCTGAACTCCGGCTGAGTCGTCTTATGCTGGGAAACTCCGACTGTTAAGACCTTGAGTGTAAGGGAAACATGGGCTTTTCCCAAGAAACCATGAGTCTCTTGAGGCAGAGAGGTTAGTGTGGACTGTCCTACGCGTGACAACTCCTTAGTCCCTATGGTAGCTGATGTCACAGGTAAGAAGCTGAGGCACCAAAAGGGCTTATGCTTTTCGCTCAAGACCCCAGATCTAAAAAGAAAACAAAGCCTGTCCAAGTCTAAAGCCTTGCCCACTGAAACCACGCCCAGAATCTACACCTCCAGCTGGCACCGACGCGGTCAGCATCTCGCCACCTGGACGTCCTGCCCAGCTCCACTAGCCCAGGATGCCCTCTTCTCAGGGACAACCTCGCACGTGCTGCGGCCTGCTGTCACCTCCCAGAACCGGCCCAGCCCAGTGACACCACGGTGGCTGGTCTCCCCCTGCACAGACTCCACCCAGGTCACAGTGGTGGTCTTCCCAGGAGGCCATGGGTCCCGCGTGGCTCATTCTCAACACCAGGTGGTGACGTCTTTGCGAATCGCTGTCCTCGGACTGCATCCCGACCCCTGCTATGTCACAACTGCATGTTGATGGGTTTAGTCACACAAGCGAGCAGCAGACACAGTGTCGCAGCGTGACCAGTAAACGACCGGACAAACGCATCTGTAAGGAGGACAAACACGGGCGACGGCTTATGCTTAGCGGAAGGGCGGCGGGGGAATCGGTGATGAATGCCCGGTCCCTGTAAGTCAGCAGCTTGGGTGTGACTCAAAAAGGATCCAGCGCCTGTGACAGGGGACCAGGTTCACTCAGGCACCATGAGCGTCAGGGTTAAAATGCCCTTGCTACGTTGTGTTTCCCATGGAGAAAGTCTGGGTATTTTTAACTCTGGGTCCAACAGACAAGGCTTACTGCGAACTGAGAAGCAAATTTCCAGCAGGGGCACTTACGTTCTACCCTTTGTTCTGGGGAGAGCAATGAGGTTTTTGTGCTGATACAATAACGAAGACAGATAAGAGAGAGAGCGAGATGGTAGCTACAGATCGATGATGGTAAATAGATGACTGACAGATGACAGATATAGAAGGTGATAGGTAAAAGACAAACAGATACAGATAGGTGAATAGGACAGATGTAGATAATAGGTACACAGACAGAAGCTGGCTGGCTTCACACACCACTCCATCCACCCAGAATGCCTCCTTGGTTTCTGTCTGAGGTTGACCTACAATCAGTGCCATGGTGTCACCATGGAAACGCACGGTGCTTCTCTTTCACTTTGTCAAGTTCGGGCTGCAGGATGGATTAGCTGCACCTCTCTCCTCGCCTTGGACCTGAAAGGAGCACAGTCCTCAGTGTGAACCGTGTAACCTCAGGGGGAAGGTCACAGAGGAGGACACAGCATGCCAGGCCACATCTCTAAGCGAGGATGCATTTAACAGTTTCCGTCCTATGCTGGCTGTCCCCTGGCTTACGGCAGGTTAATGAGTGCTCTCTCAGCCTGGAAGCCAAAAGAGCACCATCAACAAAGGGTTCAGCTCGCCCCGAAGCCACGTCTACAGAATTTTGCCCTTGAAAAGCAGCTGCTGACGTTAGAAGATGCGACCACAGGATCTAGTTTTTCCATAAAATTCCAAAGAGCGAACTTTCCATGCTGAATACTCAAGACGGCCATTTAGCTCCTTTCCATCTTAGAAATAAAACTGAGTAACAGAAAAATAAGTGCAAATATTCTTGGTAACTATAGTGAGAAATAAAACAGGTCTTTCGAAACACTTTCCACTTTATGAAAAGTTTGTTAAGTTCCATAAGACTACGAATTTCAGCAGTAGAAATAAAGCTGTCACGTGTTCAGTTACAGTTACACACAAAGCATAAATTTAAAATGAAAACGCAAGTAAAGTGAAACCACCAGCAGGTGAGTGAATCACATGCTGAGGCAGAGAGGTCATTCTCCCCCGCCCCCCAAAAGGAATTCTCTCTCCCCCATTCTGGAGTCTGGAGCTCGTGTAAAGCCTGAGGCTTAGAGACGAGGAGGGACGGCGGGCGCAGCACACGCACGAGTGAAGGCGGGCCGTGCCGCACGTCCCCTGGTCCTCCACCTCGGCCTCATTCTGGAAAAGTCAGGCCCGGAGCTCGCGGTCTCCGAGAGACGCAGCGCCCTGCTAGGAGCCGAGGAGCCCGGCCGTGCCAGGATCGCCTCTGGGTGAACGGACGGGCCTCACGGGGCTGGCTTCCATTCTGGTGCCAGCGGTTTGTTACTTAACGCTGGAATGAATGCTGCATATAGCGAAGCCATCATCTCCATGTTTGGAAGTGCATGGCTGTCGGGAGCCCTCTCCTCAGGCTGATGGCTTTATAAGGCGGGGAGGCACCCTGGGAGGCGTGTTCCCTCTCGTCCTGCTGCTGGAGGCACAGCCATCAGCTCCGCGCAGGCTTGCTTTGTGCAGACTATGACATCCAGGCAAGTACCCACCCACCAGGGGACTGGGAGCAGGCAGACCTGGGGCCTCTCCTCCTCTGAGCACAAGCGGGGACCCACAATGGCAGACTTCTTGGGGTCTCACTTTTCTCACTGATAAAATATCAGCAGCACACCTGTTACCATCTATACCTGAAAGATCACACACACAAAGTGAAATGTTTCAGGAAGCGGGCAGAGCACCCAACAAGGACCACCAGCACCCAGCACACGTTCAAACGTGTGATCAACACTAGGGCCCCAGCCTCCAGGCTGGACAGGAGGACGTGTACAGATGGCCCTGCCCATGTGCTAGCAGGTCATGCACAGAAAGAAGCCAGAGGGGGCGACAGCGATGGCCCTCCGGGGTGGGAGGCCGAAGACAGACAGGCTCCAGGGGTGTCACAAATCCCGAGGAAAGCCGTCCGCCTGCTTTTCGTCCCTTCTGCATCGCCAAACAGCCCCCGCAGCCTGAGACGTCCCATCCCACCCTGCGCCCTCTCTCCACTTGAGCCCTGATCTCACGAAAGGCTGTCGTGACCTGGAGCCTGAGGCCACTCAGCACCATCGGGACAGCAGACTCGGCCGCCCTTCATGCCCACACGCTCACCGCGGCAGTCACCAGGC